GTTTCAATTTAATCAATTTACGTCAATGACCACCAAATATTCTGTTAGCAGAATGGTTAAAATTAATAATAATAAATGTACCTCAGTATTATTCAAACAGACCGTCCCAAGCTAGAACTCATTTCCTGAACATTAGGATGGAATTGAATATAAAATAATTTCTAATTTTTATCATAATTCTTTTCAGGTACTCAACAAGCAAACGCCAAGCAAAAGCATATGTGATAGCAGTAAGTCAGTGCATTGCAGCACCATGTATAGTAGCACCATTGCTGGTGCCCAAAGTGTCCACCTCATATGGACTCCTCTGCCTAGCCTACCTCACAGCTGAGACATGGATAGGCTGCTCAGCTGCAATTGTACAGGTAACCAACTTCATCTACTTTTACGATTATGATTTATTGGTACTTCTACTTGAGTTTCCTTTACAACACTTCCACAAGGAAAATTCTGAACTTGAACACACACAAAGTATTAAAAAAAAAAACACATGTTTTTTAATCAAAAATATATATAGGTATACTGTTACAAATAATATGTATTGTTACACAACTAGTGTACTGCTGTAGAAGACATCATCTGAAACTACAGAGGGCAGCATATAATCAAATAATTTATTATTGATATCAATAGTTTTCTATTTGCGCATAACCAAGAAATTTAGAATAATAAGGATAATTGATTGTTTTTTTAATAAAATATGTAACTAGTTTAGCTCATTAATCTGACATTAATCCAGTTATTAAGCCCTAATTAGTAAGTCTTAACTAAATTCTTTCTATTTTTTTTATATGTCTTACAAGTGAAGTTTGAAGAATATGCTTAAAGCTACCAATTAATATTTGATTTATTCAGTATTTAGTCATAAATAGATAGATTAATTGATGGATTCATTGTTTCATTTATTTATTCATTTATTGAAAAGAAATTTAAACATATTCATATCATTTGTTTTTCAGGATCTATTTGCCCCAAGCCTAAGAGCCCAAGCATCGGCAGTGTATATAGCAGTTTGTACTATAATAGGTGGTAGCATCGGACCGTCATTGGTAAGTAAAAAAACACATTGTCTGTAACAGCGCTTGGATGGATGTGATGCTGTAGTTTAGTGGTAAAGATGCTTACCTCCCAATCTCCAGGTTTCTGGGTTCAATCCTGCAAGACTCAATTTTCATCACAACATACTACAGGAGAATTTCAAAGCAAACTTAATGCTTTTCTTTATATTTTTTAATTTAGGTTCCCTTAATTCTCAATGTGTCTGGCTGGGACGCATGCAATAAAGGAATGGGATATGCGCTTCTGACCATTGTGCCAACATCATACCTTATTTCGGCGTTCCTGTTCTTCCTGGTTGGCTACATGATGACAGAGGAGCTAATCATCTCGGATGAAACGATCCATCTGACATACGAGTCAAGCGAACACAGTTACTCAGTGTATGACTCATCAACAGAAGTTGAGGTAGGTCCCATTGGTTAAAAAGAAAGTGCAAAAAAGATTTATACAAAATTGAGGACATATTTTAACCATCAAGAATATTATCAAGTAGTTTAAATATAGTTTGATTTGCATGGTGGTTTTTTTTTATCTTTTTGGTTTTCCCGTATTCATTCTCTTGGGCCTGTTGAAAATAAACGAGCTGCCTAGCCTGATTGACTTGTTACATTTTATTTTATCATTCAATAGCCCAAAGTCTTTTGGCATATGATCTTAAGGCCTATTCACACAGAACGCGGCAATGGCTCAAACAGCCGCAGAAAAAATAGAACCTATTATATTCTTTATGGTGGACAGTGACAATGACAATGTGAAGCGGTATTTGACAAAGCATGTAGATAAATAGAAATCTTTCTTTATTCTGGATACTCAGTCAGTATTAGTACACTGTTCTTCCCTGAGGTCCAGGGTATGATCTTAAACTACTTTAAATTAAAAACAGAATTGATAAAGAAATATATAAGTTACATAAATAAAAGAAGCAGAAAAAAGATTGGTAAATTAAATTAGATTTTTAAAGGATTGTAGAGAAATAGAATGAATATTACTGCAGATATCTGATGATAAATTGTTCCATAAATTAACGGATCGTTATTTAAATGTTCTTTTTCCAAAATCATTCTGCCATTTTGGCGAGATCAAAGTGTTTTTTGATTTGCTTCTTGTATTTATGTTATGATATTCATCGATTAATTCGTAAAAATGTGTTAAGTATGCTGGAACAGTTCCTGTGTCGCTCAGTGTAGAGTAATTTAAAAAAAATATTCAACCAATCATCGTTTTTGGTCATCCTTCACTGCAGAACGTACAACATGTTACATGTGTGATGCCTGTCATCATGTACTCTATAAATGAATTGTGTTGCATGACACAATGTTTTCGCTGATGAAGCTGCTGCTGCAACTCAAAGACAACTCAGAGGTGCAGAGCGTCCAAAACGTTCATGATCCATGACTATAATATTACTATCAATGCACTGACCAAGAATGCTGGACTTGTCTCCATTTTTTGTTAAATTTACTTGTATTTTTTAAGTTTTTATTCTGGCTGAATAGAGAATAAATGAAAATGTGGCAAAGACAAGCCAAACCAGTCACTCGTCGCAAATCCTGTCTTGGCGATAATGGCCAAAACATGCTGGAATTTCAAAATTTTGGAAATCTATTTTATTGCACTAAACTAACCTTTATATATCTATATATCATGCTATGCTGTTATTTTCCTCATTTTCAATGTTAAAACAACAATTTGGTGATGGTTTCTGCCTAAGACATGCCAGAAATCGTAAACTTTGAAGGCTGATTTCTCAAATATTGTTCTTTAAACAGCTGTATGTTTAAACTCGTGTAACTTCATAATGAAGTGTCGGATTTAAATGATTCTGTTACCATTTTGTAGCTCTCATTTTACTGTTAAACCCTGTATTAATAACTAAAAATTGATTTTTCCGACGAGTGACTGGTTTGGCTTGTATTTGCCACAAATATTTGTTGAAATAAAGTATTTTCTATTTAAAATTAAAATATACTTACCTTAGTATTATCTCATCATATTTGAACACAGGTACATTTTTGTCTTTTTATTTGTTCTTGTGTTTCCTATCGCCAGAGTGCTAGTCTTGGCAGCAAGCGAAAGAGGAGGAGCAAGTCACAAGAATTCACATCAAGTCAACATGAAACGCAACTCTACACCTGATAGTTTTTCAATTTTATGCAAGCCCTTGCAAATGTGTGTGCTGCCCTCTATCAGGTTGCCCTGCACATAACTGGGCAGTAGAAAAACTTGCTTATCAATTATGTAAAAAGTAAAGAATCATGCAGACGTCTGTTGTGTTTAATCCTGTACCTATTTATTTGTTTTATTTGATCTGTAATCAAATTACACAATTGTACTATAGTCTATGCCTAAAGTATCTATTAGCTGTAAAACACTGATTAAGGAACAGTGTTGGACGTTTCAATGTCATTGTGCCCTACTCTTTGGAAAAATTTACTTTTAAATGCTAATTTTACCCCATTTTTTAAATAATAATGATGATAATAATTTTACCCCATTTTGAGAGCCAAGTTACTTTTAAAGCTGCAGCAGTGCTGACACATTTTATGCAATGATCAAAGCTTTAAGATTGATAAGTTGACGTAATTTTAATTGTACCAAATGTCGTCGGTGATGAGCGGTACTGTAAGCCTAGGTATTATACTTAATCAACCATTCTGTACTGCACATTAGTGGCAAACTGTCAAGGGATGCACTTTGTACATTAGCTAGTACTCCAAAGAAAATGTTTTAAATGTGTATTTCCCTGTTTTATTGAGTATTTTTTGGAGTTGGTTCCCACAATTCTTGTATTATTTATAATTATTTTGAATTTTTCTTACAGATCATTAGGCCTATTGAATCACAAGAGTATTTTAGCAGTGTATGATTTATGTATATCTGATTTTAGCCAATTGTCTTTCAGAGCAAGTAAATTCAGGGCTTTAGAATATGAATTTTATACTACAGTAGCTTGGATGTGCTACGCATGTAGTCAATTATTTATTATGATGTTGCTGATAATTTTATTTATATATCTAACGTGTTTGATGTTCAGTTTAATGTTCAGTTTGATGAAGTACACTTGTTTGTGGGAAATTGTTATTGCTAAATAGCTAAATAGGAGAAATCCACAGTGCAACAAAAGGGGAAACAAAGTTTACTAGACATTATGGTGACTATAGTAGAAAATGAAAAGCTTTATACACAGTAGTGCACTATGCACTCAAATTTGCATTAATTTTGAAAATTCACCTTGTTCATGGGCCCTTACTGCTGGGAATCGCTGCATACCCTACAGATTACCTATGCTATGGTACTCCACTGCTAGCCATACAGTTCAATAGGCAGGTGTCTTCATATTGTGGAGTATTTGATGATTATGATGAATTAATGATTTTCATGCTATATATTACCAGATTTGTACATGTATATTTTATAAAGTTTCTTGTATCTTGTATGGTTGCTATACCAACCGAAACTAAGCTGCTATACTCTGTAAAATTTAAATTTGTAATTATTTGGTAAATTGTTTTTTTTTAACTCGGACACACACAACATAGCCAAAGATAATGTATGTATAATTGATATGGGTTTATTTGCATCTAAAGACATAATTATTTTGGAAGCAACAGAATAACTCTATAATTTATATGGGGGCCAATAACAAACAAAAACTTAACTTCATCACTGACTATCAACTATATTATGACTTACTATTATTACCATTATTATTAGTAGTATTATTAGAAAGTATATAAAATGTGTTATAAGCTAAAGATCACTAACAATAGTGAATAAAGCAAACTAACTTGGTAGTTACAGCAAGAGGAAATGAAATCATACGGGGGATTTATTATAATGCACGTTTATAATAAACGTTTAATAATTTATTTTTTTGAATGTTTACAGTATTACTAATTTGTCAAGGAACTAAGATTAAGGAATTCAGTATATTGACTATGTACAGAGTATTAAATTATCCCTCTGGAACTTATAATAAAAACTGAATACAAAAATTACTCATTCAGACTTGTCTCTACCGTCCCCCACTCTCTCATCCACCATTCATTCTCAATTACTTGTACACTAAATTATTTTTGACGGATAATCTAACTATAATAATTATCAATAAATATTAATTAAATAAACTGGTATAATTCTCAATCATACATAATGGACGTAACAAAAACATTATATTACATTAATTTCTTTTTTACCATGATCAAAAAACTATATTTTACTAATTCTAACCATGGAGTTGTAGTCTATTATAGCTCCATGCTTCAACTAAAAAGCACCACACAAATTTGCCAACGTCTGTTGTTCTTAAACGTTGTTCCTTTGCAAATCTGAGCTCCACCACCTGTTTGCCATCCTTCATAATATTTAGTGTTAAGCTCTGTCCAGAATATCAAATTTTATTTGACAAAAACATGTGACATGCCTAAATATGGTCATGATGACATCACATCATGACCATATATAGGCCATCATGACCATATATGGGCACATCATGACCATATATAGGCACATCATGACTATATATGGGCATACAACAGAGTATTGTCAAAGAAAATTTGATAGTGTGTACAGACCTTATTGTAAAGCACAATCTTGACACTAATTATGTTAACATTTACTCCACAAATCCAAAACCCTTACAATGAGGGCGCTATCACTGCGTGTTTCCACAACTCTACATACTCTCACTGTTATGTTATTATAATCACTTTGTTACTGCAGTGCTTTTCCACAAATTTCAATCCACTTCAAATGGGGAACACTAAATAATAAATGCCATGAGATCAATCAATAATTGGTAATCAATATATTGATTTTTAGTGGATAGCACACCTGCTTTATGATCAATATGAATCAATAACAGCACCTTGATTCTATATACTAGCAGTTCATGGTAATGGCATATTTTCCTCTATATATAATAGCCCCACAAGACCTATATAGCAACACATTGTTCAGGTAGCTTCAATACTACAGATAAACTAAATCAAGGCATTCGCTGTATGGGTCTCAGCTACATATTATAAACGTACAAGTATATAAAGAATATCAACTCCTGTGGTTGTATATAAAGCATATCCCTTCTAGCAATTACTACATACATCATTCCACCATGGACAACCTGCCACAGGCCAATTGCAATTATTCACTTATTTTGTATATCATATATGTACACCAGGATAAGTCCTTGGAGGAGATCTTTGTCAATGAGGAATGACAGACCCATACACATCAGCTGCAAGTTCATCATCTCAGCTTCAGTGCTTTATTTTTTTACCAATCCCATCCCCACCAGAGCCCCAACCCCAAAATAAAGATTCATCACACTTATAATATGATTACATGTTTATCTACAGTATGACCATCTCTTCAGCTATGATCACAAGTTTACCTGTAATTTTCCAGTTTCTTTTGATCAAATACCTACAAAATGATCCTATGATCATAACACCTTTTCACACATTAGCTCATATCACAAGTTCAAGCAAGATCACATGACTAATTGCTCAATTATGATCACATTTTCTGCTCCTCGGTACAAAATATAATAATTTCTTTGCATTTAAGCTACATAGCCATCAGATTATTATGGCTACTTCAGAACCCTTCACACACTGCAATGGATCTGATATATAATTGCAGACGGCAACCACCAATATCTACATTATATGTGGGTTCTTGCACTGGATCTGATTTATGACAAACCAATCAAAACTGACTTTGATATCGAATGGCTTGTTACTAAGTATATGCTGATATGAACTCAACTTGCAGTATGCTTGTCAAAATAATTCAGCAGCATTTATAAATCCCTTGTTCAGATGTATACTGGAAGTTCTTGTCCAGTAAGCAGTCTGTACATAGATAATGGCATCGTTTTCATCCGGATCTAGCAGAAAAGAACAGACAATTGAGAGTAACCTTTCCATAAATTATAAGCTGAAAACACATTTTGCATGGATTAACATAACATCTTATAATAAAAACTACTAATAAAATATCTCTACATTGTATATGATGACAATTTAGGCTTAGAACATTTATCATTATTTAAGTGTTAACAACACTGGCAAAAATGTTTGAGTAAGAAATACATACAATACTCAATTTCTATATTCTTGTCTTAACCTAATGTAAAGTTATTGACTTTTAGTTGTAATTTTGTTTGTTTGGGAACCACAAAGAAAAATAAAATAAAATAACACCCAAAAAACATGAGGACATTCATTTCACACATAGATAGAGTAGTTCACAGGAGTAGACAAGCAAAAGTTGCCAGATGCAATGGCCGAGAGAAATAGAGGCAAATTTTCAATGCTTAACAGACTCGACACAACTAAGTTGTTTATTAGAAGTCCTCTACATAGGGAATATTTTTTCCATTAGATAGAACTCCAGGTAAAAATGTGGCTGTTCTTATCAGTCAGTCAATCAATCAATAAATAAATAAATCAATCAAGCTGTCAATCAATTAATAAATCAGTTATAGAAATTGATGGCGCCGTTAGCACTCATCGTATGTCTGCACATGTATTATTTAGATAATAATAAATGACATTATTTAAACCAAATAATGTTCAACTATACCTCGCCAACAGAGTTAGACAACATTTCTACAATCTTCTCATGTGTGACAGCAACAACACTACTACCGTTGATTTCAATTATACGATGGCCGACTCTGACTCCGCCCCTCTCCGCTATCCCTCCTCGCATTAAACTGCAAATCTGTTGGCAATCAAAAATCAGCATTTTCATCAATAAAAATGTTTAGACACGTTAAAAGAAAACTGTGAGTGTTTAAGAGACTGAAATATGTTTAGCATTAAGGGATCAACTTTCCTTTCAATTATTAGGGATCAACATTTCATTAATACTTGATTTGAAATGTCAACGTTTAATGTTTAACTAGAATAGAGCAGTCACCCTGTGTCTGAATGTCGAGCAATATGCAGGCAATTTATAGTCAATTCATTATTTTCTTTTATATTCAATAGGTAAGTGCAGTGATATTTTTGAACATCTGTGACTCTGACATTGGTATATCACCTTTCCACATCCCCAAATTTAATCATCTCTTCAATATGATGATCCATTTATTAGTTTTTGTATTAGTTTATGTATCATGGTAACAATCTAACAAAGTGATAGCAGTGAATACACCACCTCCTTTTGTGGAGGTAATAATTGACTTTATGGTTTGAGATGTCTGGTTTAACTTATTAGAATATATGACTTGACCACATTTTCCAGAAGGTTTCAACGGATAGACTAATGACAGTCTACCAGGCGTTCAGGCAAGAAGGAAAACATTTCCATCTTTATTAATGATGAGTACTTTTTATGTAACACATTTCAATATACAGTAGATTATACTAGAACTGTTCAGCCAGATTTATATAATAGTCATATAATCTATCAAAATTCATAACAAACATAGCCCCATAACATATCTTATAAATATCCTCAAATCAAATGTTAAGTACTCACTAAGAACCAATAGATTTATTTAACAAAAGGTGTATACAAAATACAATGGACTTATTCCGGAGTGTCAACCAAACATACCAACTGACCAATCAGAACATCGCTAAGAACACATGCTTGCCCCTCATACACATGGGAAAATGCTAGTCGTCGCCTGCACAGCAGTTGAATGATGATGACACTATCTCTTTATGGGGCCTTAGCAACAATATCCAAGGGGCGGGACTTAGCGAAAAGGTTCATTTGCATTTTTTGTAATTAAAATATTTAGGCTACATTTGTTGTATTATATAGCTTTCACTTTGAAATATCAGTTGAAATTTAGCTAAAAGGCTACAAGGAAAATATTTATTAATACAACATCAAATTTAATTTGAGCTTTAGGTGAATGAGTATGTCTGAGGTATAATCTGGTTTACTAGAAAATTCATCTTACAAAATTAATTTGTACAACATATCAAAAGAGCCTAGCTTTAAAGTGTCATTAGAAACATATTATATAATATCTTTATTGGACTTACCGTTCCATTCTGTACACTAAATCCAAGTTGGTACCTAGTATCTGGACGTTTGACCAATACTTGTGTAACTGGAGGACATGATACTATATTAAATTTCACCAACGCTTGACTTTTTAATGACTGAAAGAACAATTAATGAAAGTGAATTAAATTCAATAATACTTCCTGGAAAAGATAGAACTGATTTCAAAACTTTAATTACATTCTCTTTTCTTGATGTTTATATTTTATTTATGTATAACTTACTTGTAAAATATACGAACAATAGAAAACAATTCTGTACAAACGGCATTAGTAAACAGAGTGAAAACAAGTGTATGTAGCTTCAGTTACAAGGACTGGGAAAGTGCTAAAGCATTCTGATCTACTATGAAACTTAAGTGACATACTGTATCTGATCTGTGTTATACATAAATCTGATCAAACATGTCTGTAAAGCTGTCTATACTACCAAGGTTTATGTAAAAAATACCTGTGATATGCCCATATACTTTACAAACCGCGAACACAAAAAGGTAGGAGGAATTAACGTCATATTCTTATTCTGAAAATATTAAGCTATCTTGGCTTCACATCCCACTTCACACAGCCAGACAAAGTAGGCCTACTACCAGTGGTGGTCTATTTTCCTAGCTTAGCCTATGCCTACCTTAAATGGAACAATCCTCACAGCATTTTATTTCTCCTACAATATGGATATTTCCCATTAGTTGGTAATTAGCTATTACAATCTTTTTATAAAACATACCAATGTTATTTCTTCTTCGTTACAAATGCTAGGCCTATTGTGCTGCTTGTACGTGTGCCACACATGTGAACTATCGATTTGAAAAATCTTGGCAAAGCTAGCTGGCAGACTAGAGTAGGTGAAGTAGGCCTACGCCTACCTAAGGTAGCTAGCCTAAAAATCGAAAGGGCAGGAGCTCTAACTATAATACAGGCTAAAGAACATAATGGTAGGTTTCTGCATCATGTTTAAAAACCAATGGAAATCATAAAATCGCGAAAATAAAATGATGCGAAATATCTCAATTTGTAAAATCGCAAAAATATAGGGCCATTAAAAAAAAGAGGCTGTAAAGTATGGGTGTGATATGTAAAGCTGATGATATATCATCTGTCCATATGGGTAAATTACACAATCTGTCAAATCACTGACAGAAGAAAATCTAGTTGCATATTTTCAGGTTATAGAAGGGATATACAGTAAATATTGTAGTCTACTATGTAACAACTCTACTACAATCGTCATCATTGTAGTTTAGTGCTTCTACTATGAATCATGCATATACTTACCTTAATAAGCTGTTGACATTTCTCCAGTGGTAGGCCTACACAGCTTGTTCCATTGATTGACATGATCTGATCACCAATGTTGAGTTTTCCACATCTAGCAGCTGCACCAAACGGTGACATGTTTGCTATGACCACTGTTGGTATTAATGATCCCCATCCTGACTCCACTATCACCACACCCATGTTCTCTCCACGCTCCTTGTTTACGAGAATCTGAAAAATTGAAAATAGTAAACATTATAAGTGCTGATCAACAATCCTAGTCCAAGGTATTCTTCATGGAAATATTCCTTGGATGTATTTTCAGATCACTGTAGCACATATCTTTCCTACCAGGTAACCCAAAAGGCGCTGCCATCATTGAGTGAATCAAACAATTTAAAATTCAAATACAAATCCACGATTCCAACTAGACAGTGTCTTCAATAACAAGCAGATAAGGGAGAGATTTGAGCTGTCCACAGAGTATTACAACAAAGCCGTTGGCAAAATTAATATGTTTACAGATGGCCAGGCACGTACATAAAGTCAATCAGTCGCGTCTCATGTTCAAGGGACAGTGGGTTCATCACTGTCTGTATTCCTAATATTCATCCCTGATTACACCTTCCCTCGGATTACTGATACATAAATGTACAAGAAATCTAATTTTGTCAGGGGTGTGTTAATGTAATAGTGATATGTGGACGATGTGTGTGTAGAAATATGTATGTATGTAAATAACACGTTTGGTGGATATGTGCACTTTGGAGGATAACACCATGATGGGACTAATAGGTATTGGACTGTAAAAAGATAAATCTAATAATGTCAAGAGTGTTTACTAGACAGTTTAATGAAAATGCAGCAAAATATTTTCACAGCTTAACTAAATCCATCAATCAATCACATTTTTGATAAAATTTGACATATAATTCCTTGAAAGACAGAATACATAATTCATTGCTAATAAAAACTACTTATGCTGTCTCCTCCACCCCTCATATTAGTTGTTACTTAAATCTGTGATATTTGTCTTTCATAATTTCTCATTATTCAATGAAACACAGTTCCTAAAGCACCTCAAGAGATGATGATGATGATGATGATGATGGTGGTAATGATGTTATGATGATGATAATGGTGATAATGATGACGATGGTGGTAATTAAAGTTTTAATTAAAAATAAAAATGACAAAAAAAAATTCCTTTTCAATTAACAGATCCATGCAATATCGTTAAAATTATAAATTTATGGATTTTCATGTAAATCAGCAAAATCTTGTTTATATGTGTATCAATTTATTTGAACTGAATTTCTGAGTGTTACTTATATTTTATGACAGATGGTAAACATCTTTAGCAGGTAGCAATGTTAAATATGCTAATACTGTTGAAACTGATTAATGACAAACGAGTTCTACAGACAAGTCTGGCAGCAGAGTTCTGTATGTGTTGCAGTTTACAAAGTTCTCTGGTAAACAGTACAACAAATCATTGTAACATTAAACTGATTATAAATGGATGTACAAAGCCATTTTTAAGTTAATCCTGTAATGCCGGAAGGCAGCTCAAAGAAAATGCTTTTGTTTTGAGTCCACTCAATAAATTAACTATAAATATCTGCATCAACTCACCTCTTTCTCACATTCCTTGTTTGAAAATAACATGAGGTCATCACCATATATCTCCTGGGAATTGAGAACGTCTTGGTAATCCATCTCGTACACGGCAGGATCGTCTATCCCATTCTGCTTCAAGAATTCTAGATACGCTATGGAGAACGCCTGTCCAATTGTCTGTGCGATTAATTGCGCCTACGGAGAGAGACATGTATTAGAGCTGTTTTTTAGGTTGCTTTGTCTGCGAGAACACGCTGAAGATTTGACCAGACCATTCAATGATTAATTATCTACCGCCATGGATTCACATAATGGGATTATTGGCACTAAACTAAGATTAAATTTATGATGTTTTTTGAAATGTCACCTGGCATATTATGAGTAGAACATTACACAAAATGTGACTGGTTAACAACAAAATTAAGGATAAAAATAAAGGGTAAAAAATAAGAGATTAAATAAAAATTTGTATATGCTGTCACTAATCCTCATCTGTTGGGACTTTGTCAATAATCTAAAACCTACAGTAATTTTCTCCTTTTTATAAAATAAGTAATGAATCGTAAGAAGACAGGCTAACGTTGACTTATCAGAGTACTGAAAAATATATCAATCAAATGAATGCCTGATTAATTAATTATTCATAATTTTTTTATTTTCCTTCGATGCGACCTACTGATTTCATCATTATCAATTTTGGAAAATTTCTACTGGTTGCTAGGCTACAACTCAAGGGTGCTGTAATAAAGCTAAGATGTATGCAAGTTGCAGTCCCCTGTGGTTTCATAAGAAATCGTTATTTGTTGTTTATGCGCGAATTAAATTTGATGGACGACGTGATCATTCAAACGAATACTGGCCTCGTATTTTTTCCTACTTGAAAGCTTCATAAAAATATTTGATCTGTCATGTTTAACAAATAATACATTTAAGGTATTATGTTAGATCAACATGAACATTATGGAGAAGTGTCCAGAGGCTCCAAAAACCCTCTATTTTCCTACAATTAAGCCTTGTGCAATACTTAACGCATTAGATTAGGGCACTGTGAAAATATGAATTATGTAAATATCGTTCTACTGGTCCTGGGAAAGCAGACAATGATCGTTTATGCATGTTAGGTTAGTAGACAGTTGAAGGTATTTTAAGGACTCACAGTGCAAGAAGCATGTATCTTGCACCAGAAAATACGACACATGCATTGTCAAAATATATTTGTGAAATCTGGTGGTTTAGTGAATTCAGACAGTGAACCCTCGTGCGTGCTAGGCCTCGAGTAGACAGTTGTAGATCCTATTAGGAGACTCAAATCTGTTTGTATGACTTGCACGAAAAACATTAATCACTTGTTAATGATTGACAATTATGATGGTCATTAAAATTCTGTGTGCTGATTCTAAGAACTTGCAAATATTAAAAATGAATTTGTTTCATAATGTAACTTAAATGTCATACTTTATTATTATCTTCACATTGATGGACTTAATTATTAAGATTTTATCATGGTAAAGTGGAAATAGTTATCAACCTGTATTTTCACTTGCATTGCTATAATTTTCCATTTTAAGAAAGGGTATGAATAAATTGAATGGATCACTAAACATCTTATATACCGAAACAAATAATTTTGAAGTGTATTCTATATTATAAAATATGACCAAAAAATATTAAAAATATTAACTATATTATTTTTCAATATTAGTTTGTATATTAGGTCACTGCATTTTTACTGTGTATGACCAACATTGTATAGTAAAATAACAAAAATAATAATGATAATTTCTTTGTGGTTGTGCATCTGCTACACATAATACAACATTTCAATTAAATTCAATAGAATAATAATGATAAAAAAAAACATTAACAATAACAATAATAAAATATTAGGAATAAAAAAAGTATTTATATACCAGTTTATCAATTGAAGCATCAAAACTCAAAATACACATCTTAATAATAACCTGTAATGTATCTGATTTGTTTAAAGTATGCTTTTAATGTGTTAAATGAATTTTATAATTTAGTATTATACTACTAAATTCAACATAATTTCAGACAAATTTCTACTTAATACTTACGTCTTCTGTTTCAAAGACATGACATATGATCTTCCTTGGCTGTGACCGCCCCTCAGCGTCCATGGACACACCACTCTCCTCCAAGGCCTCTCCAAGCGTCTTTGACAGGGCTCGTCTCCTTGCCATTATTACAACGATGTTACCAATATCGGCAATATATGAGATGGTCTTTAGTGGATGGTCCATCATGGTCTCCTGTTACAATAATCAACAGTTAATCAAAAGTGCGTAATAGGTTTATACATTTATTCATATGATAAATGTTTAATATTTAATTATCAAATGAAACTTATATCTACATATATACCTACAATATCTGACAGAGAATAAATTGTCTAGAAAAAAAACACCTCAAAACTAGGATGAAAAATGTGCTGTACATAAATCAAAATAGAGAGTATTACATAATATGTTAAACAATTTTTTTTCTTGTAAATTTTCATTGCATTTTGTAATTTTTAGTCTTGATCATTCAATACTAAATTCATATGTACAGTAACATTATATATATTTTTATATGATAGCTTCGTCTTTGTATCTGATGTTCAATAAAATATTGTTTAAAATGGCACATTTATTTAATAGATAATTCTTAATAGAATTAAAATTGCATCTACAGGATGACATTATGTTTAAAGGAGGAAGGTATCATTAAGTAAGCTTTTTGTTTAGACACCCCTATTGATTAATAATTGCAATTTATAGTTTGCTATTCAATGGCAAGAAATGTTATGCTACATTTTTAATATTATCATCATAAATTTCAATCATTAATATTTCCCAATAGAATAAATGAGTGCATTATTCTCTCTACACAAGAGTTAAATATGTACATAGTAGGAGACTCAAGTGACAGTAGACTGTGCGAAGATTTTTGCAGCGTGACCAGAATATTCCCCCAATAAAGTGGAGAATATTGCACATTGTGGATGATTGCTGACGAACCTAGTGAGCAAGAGACGTGGTTAGTGCCTTTTACTCCTTCAGCAAGAGACACCAAGGATATTATGTGAGGTGTCACAACAAAAGGAGTCGTGTTGTAGCAAGGTCAATTTTATATTCAACAAAACGTGTACATATGAAGGTCATATTTTGATCATAATGAGACTTGCATACACTGAAATTGTTTTTAAGATTATTTTTTAAAATTTTTTATATCAAAAACAAGAAGTAAGTTATCAGCTGTTTATCCTTAAACATAAATGTAATCAGATTATATTTTCAGCCTCTGAATTTCAAATCTTAATCTGGTTTATACGAACTTAATTTAAATACCCCCAAAAAAACTCATTTTATAAGATGGTGATGCCACGAGACACTTTTGATGACACCTCATATAATAGAAATATGTGTTATTGTAAGCATTTATTATCTAACCTGAGTGTCTGCATTAAGGACACGGATTTTGTCCATCGATATCGACAAATCAACCTCTGTACTTGGCTGCTCTTCCCCATCAGGCGACTATAAAAAAAAAAAGTAAACACAATTTAATAAATTAATAAAACACTGAACTACAAATAAGTTTACTGGCTTTAACAAAACATGAGCAGAGGGGGAGTAGAAGCATTCACATAAATCACTGCCAATGGTGTGATACAATGTTTACAATACAAAACACAAAAGCGCATCACACTACACAACGAACACATACATTACCTGAAAAGTCACTAAATAAATGAGTAAATATATTTACACATTAGACAATCACATAAAAAAAAAACGTAAAATATGTTGAAAATGTTACTTAAAAATATTGCACAAGGAGGACTGGACTGGGAAGAATGCGATAAAACAGTGGTTAGTTATTGATTCTAACTTTGTGTCATTTACAAAGGGAGGTGACAGAATGTTGGTGGCAATAACATCAGAGGAGGTAAAGAAGGGGGTGGCAGAAAGGCGGAATAGCAGCCAGAGAAAAGATTGAGAAAAACACAGGCTGGTTATTATCAGGACTAGCGAAGAATAACAGGAAGTTAGGTAAAGAGCATTATCAGTATGTCAGAATAGCAGCTGTAAAGATAACTGAAGAAAGGATGGGCAGGTTGGTAGCATAAAAGAATTGTATGAAGAAATTTGAGGCGAGGGATGGACAGATTAATTTTTAAAGAAATATGACATTAGAAGGAATAGGAGAAAAAATAATAAAGAAATAAACGTATGAAATTATTAATATAAGTATCATATTACCCAAAGAAAGAATTATAACTGCTCTGAGGATAGTCTTAATATAAATCTGAAATTGTTCATGGATAATTTCTTATTTCTGTTCTTATTCACTTCTCAAGTAGTTAAGTTTTAATTTCTATTTCTTAAAATTTGGATACATATTTTAACATTTTTTTGTGATTCTTTATATGGAGGGAAGAACACAAAATGTTGCTGCACTTCCATATATATTTGGGATAGCATACATATAAAGATAATAAATAAACTGAACACCAAAACAGCGCCCCCTATGTTGATTTTCAAGACTAACATAAACACAACACTGAAAAGAAACGGCATAGCAAATTAAATTAACCACATTTTGACAACAGCGGGATACATTTTAATAATAACCTTTTGCCAACGAGTCCAAAGACGCGACTATTGTAGCAGCGTAAAGAAAAAAAGGAAATAAATCTGTTACAGGTTGAACATGATGCAAGTTGTCATGGAAACCTATCTGCATCATTGTGTGTCATAGGTTAGACATGGACTACTTACAAACAGATAGGCTGGCATGAAATATTTAAAACAGATTATTTTCAAATTTAATCTTCAATAATTCCATGGGTTTCTAAACTTCATTTTCTAATATCGTTCATAGATCATCATTTTAATATTGGAAACGAAACTGGTGGGTGGCAAGAAAAAAAAATGTTTTTGAAACTAAAAGCTATTTTTATGTACAGAAATTAATCACTATCAACATTATAAATACCATTAACTACACACACAACAATAGTTTCAATTCATACTGCTGTTCACTTGTGAAAGGAATAAAAATTTGAAACCAGGCCGAGACAGAAATATTGATTCGTGTAAGGACATAATCAATATTTTATGTTATTTTACAAGAATATGACGTCCAATGCTCGGATAACAGTTCCATTTAATATTTTCAGGGATTTTTAACACTTGTAATGCTAGGTTTCGTCTTATACTTAAGTTATGGTAGTGTATGTTTCCCGCATTTACAGACAAGATCATTAAAGTATGACGGCAGAGAAATAATTAAAGGGAGAGTCTCACTTTTTCACTTTTCAGTCAGCATGTTATCCTAATTCTAATATCATGTGCTTCCTATTGAGTAAATTTACCTTTAAACTTAACCATTACCTGTTAGGATACTGAATCATAGACTAATCGAGTAGGTATACATCATCCTAATGCATAACGTAAAGATCCTGGAACCCTATCCACTGATTGGCTGTGATACAACAGTCTCATTTAAATTTACTGTACACCTACTGGCCACTTGAATTTAAGATGTGACATGGCATGCGACTAGTATTTTAATGACTGAAAGCTTAAAGGGCACTCTTTACATTGTGCTATATATTTTAAAATCTTCTGAACATTGAAATTATAAAAGTAATAAGGTTGTATGGTCATAATTGGTAAATTGCATGAGATAATTCGCTGGGTGATATAAGACTTGAGACGGTTCATGCAAGTCCAACAAATGGAAATGTCACCAGAACAACATAAGCAGAAGAACAAAATATTTCTCACAACATTTTCTCTTTTTTTTTTTTTTCTTTCTTTATAATGTATGATAAGCGGGAACATCTTTCTTTTTGGATGTCTTCCAACTGTTGATGATCAAAATAATTTGATCAAAGGTAATTTAGCTATTAAACATGCTGAATGTATTAAACAGTAATAAAAGAAGCACATGATAATGATCCTTGGTTTACAAAATGACTTAAAGAGGATAATACTAGCCAGCTGATATTTGATAAGTATAAATCCTTCATGTACATATTACAAGGTCCAACTGAGGAGAATCAGTCGTTCATAAAATCTTTAGGTTCAAAATTATAGTATAGATTCTAAAATGTAGAAAATCAAATTTATTTACTGAATTTTATTACCACCTATCATACATTACATACTGCTCTGGTATGTAAAGTTTCCTTGATAATATTCAAATGCAATGAAAATTTATGGTATGAAATTATGCTTTTCTGTAAAGTGATCACTTTAATTAATTCGCAATTTATTACAAAATGTCAAAGAAATACATTATGTATGTATGTGTCTGTGTAAAGGTTACCCTCCATTTAATCACAAACCAGCTATCAATGAAAAAAAATCCATCAGGAAAAAATGATTAATATCATTGGAAATCCTATTATTTGCAGACAATTTTTAACCAATGAATTAATTGTTGCTACACATATTGGCAACAGATACAAATTAACAGTGAGTAATCTTGGAGGTAATTCCCAATGGAATTGTATCTACACCAATAATTAACAGTGAGTAATCTTGGAGGTAATTCCCAATGGAATTGTATCTACAACAATATATTATAAACATGTCTAATGCTATTTCATGTTTCTGAAATGGAAACTAGTAATATATAAATATAGGATTATATTTGATAAATTAAATTTTGATTTTAATATTTGATAAATTAAATTTCAAATTTTTAAATTAAAAATACTGTGAATTTTTCAGATCCTCACTGATGTAAATGAGTGCTCTGTTATTGGACAATGATACCATTTCAGGATTGATTGCTGGGATTTTATAAACAAATGCATGAATTATTGTATGTATACATACATGCAACAGGTAATGACAGCAAACTTTACATGTATTAATTTGAACATTACACCGATGCCACTGTACTTTCTAAGATGTGATACATGCATCTGCACACTTAATTAGCACTAGATTCCGCATCATGTACACTTGGCACATATATTTTACACATGCAACTAGAATGTAGATTTCACATGCACATACTGAAGCACGTAGATTTCACATGCAAAAAGCAATAGATTTCACATGCACTAAGCACATAGATTTCACATGTAATGTAATGACTTCTAATGTAATGACATGTTAATGTTCTGACTTCTTAACACACAGATTTCATATGCACTATGCATTGGGTTCCACATGCACTTAGCACATAGATTTCACATGAACTAAGCACATAGATTCCACATGCACTAAGCACATACATTTCACTCCTAAGCACACAGATTTCATATGCACTAACATAAATTTCACATGCACTATGCACTGGATTCCACATGCACTAAGCACTTAGATTCCACCATGCACAACATAGATTCCCTCAGCACATAGATCTATGCATTAAACACATACCGTAGATTTCACATGCCCTAGAACATTCCATGCACTGCATATTTCACATGTACTTGCATAGCAGAATGAACATGCGCCTAGTACATAGATAGCATTGATTAAACATGTACCCATGGTTAGCATAATTTCAACGTACTCTACCTACGGTTTGCACATACAATACACACCACATGTACTCACTGTTAGCAGACATGTGGTTGGGCATTGTAGATTCTTAGCCATTTCATGTGTATACATGGTAAGTACATGGATTGCACATACATTCCAGATGTATGTTTAGTTTAGATTCTACCTATGCTTAGCATTTCAAGCATACTCAGCACTGATCAGTATTGATGCATGTGGAATCTATCATCACACATGTCTTCATGATCTCAATGGTTATAACAAACATGTACAAAATGTTTCAAGCCAACATGCATGCAATGAAAATAAAAATTGACAGAAATAAAGATGTACATGTTTGGTACAGAAAAAAACAAATAAATTTAACAAATAAAGAATAAAAATGTTTGAGATCAGATTTTTAAAGTTTATCACTATGCATTTTGTTTGTTTCTTTGTGCAAGACATGTTATCCACACTATCTCGCGTATATGTATATGTATGTATGTATATGTGTGTGTTTGTGTGTATGCATATATATATATATATATATTCTTTTATTATTTATTTCTACTGTATTTACTTTTATTTATTTTTATTTTTATTATTAATATTATATTTTTATTTAAAAATGTTATATACATTATTGCATGCTATTTAATTTTTAATGACGCTGTTAGGAGAGCCAACTGATAGTTTTTAAACTTTTTTGGCAATCCTTGGAAGGCAGCATAATGTTTTTGTTATATTTTTCCTGAAATTAAATTTGAAGTGAATTGAATCTCTCCCTCTCTCTAGTAGAATCTAATGCCAAGCACTGATTCTAGAGGTGCTTGATCCAATGACCAGGCTCTCATATTATGCAATACTGTATGCACTAAAATAGCTCATTATTATTTTCCATCAAATTACAAAAAGTGTATGAAACAAAATTCAAGTAAAAAAAACCCCCAAATATCAGTTCTGCACACAAGTTTTTGTGTTGCTGGATATTATAGCAGTTTATTAAAATTCCATAGTTGATATTAATAATCGGTATTTTGATCTGTTGTTTTATGTTGGAGGTATATATGGGAATATGAATCATATATATTTGTGATGTACCCAAGAAAAAAATTATTTCTATGCAAGTTGATAATAACAATTCCTGTCTTTAGGATTGTTCATGATGAAGTTGATCATTAATTACAATTAATTGTTAGAGTGTTGCAATGTAACATGATTTTTGCAACCGTTTGGAGGTTGATAATGACAATTTGTTCAACAATTATCTAATATTCCTTTGCTGCAACCGACATAGCACGATAGTTGCACTGTAGTTTGTTGGTTGTAGCATTTTGTACCAGAATGATTTGCACCATACTATGATGGTAACAATTGTAGTACAATTGTAGAATTGTACCATTGCAGAAATTGCAGCCAGCACAGCGTACAGTAAGATAGTTGCAGAATTTGAGGCAAAATGATGGTACTGTAGCTAACATGATGGTAGCAGTAAAAACGAACTGTAACATGGTGACTAGCATACTGAAGTATAATGGTTGTAGCATTTTCATCGTAGCATGATGGTGTAGCATGAAGGTTAACGGCATAGTAGGCCTACAATAACAGCTCTAACCAATGTAGCATGATGATAGTTTGTCAATGACAGTTGTACTTTGCAGGGAAGCAGGACAGTTATGGCTAGATTTTTTTTATTTCTTGTTTCGCATACTTATTTTGCTTTTAAATTTTGTTTTCTTATTTAGTTTTAGTTTTGTTTAGTTTATTTAGTTTTGTTTTGCCAAAAACATCCAGAGGAGAAATAAAAATAAATTTTATTGGTGAATGTAAAATGGGATGGTTAAATGCTTCAAATTTATATAATTAGGAAGAAATATACATATCTTATCTTTGGAGATTTCAAGGCAGAGGAGGGTGTAGTAAAAATAAATAAAAACTTTTTTTTTATTTTTTTATTTCCATTTTTTCGTGGTGGTGGTGCGCTAACTGGCCAAAAAATAAAATTTTCATTCGAAATCAATCATCAATCAATATTTGCGTTTGGCGGGTTCGCTAATCAAGGCATAAAAAAAGTCTTGCCTATAGCGGATGCGACACAATTATTATATCTGTGCTAATGCTAACATAATTGAACTGATGCACTCTAAATATATCTTGGCTTCAGATTATTGTATTCTTAAAGAGATCCAAAAAACCCAATGATAATCAAATGTTACATAGTTACATTGAACAAGTAAACCATTTTGAATCCTAGCTATGAAGTATGAGAGGTTAGGCCCATTTAGTCAAACTCTTTAAAATTCATCGTTCGGCATTATATGCGACAGAGATCATCATAATTGAAGTGACTAATCACATCTTCATACTCATTAATTCCACTAAAGTAGATGAGAGTTTTTGTGCCATAACAATATCCCGCAGGCACGATTCAGAGAGACATTACTAAATATTCCAGTGTCTCGCTACAATTCAACTTCATTATATTATATCTACTGAAAGGGATGAAATAGTGCAACCACATTGTTTTTAATGTCACTTTGCATGAAATAGTGCCAAGAACCTCTCCCTGGATATTAAAGGAGTCTTGCACAATTTCAGTTCTCTCTACATGGTACATACCGTACTCGCGCGAATAAGCGCCCTGTTTGAATAAGCGCCCCTGCCAAAGTGAAAATGTTCTTAAGCGCCCCGTTTGAATAAGTGCCCCTTAACAATATCATGTGATTTTTTTTTTTAGCTGGCTAATAATGGCATGCGGTTGGCATTGGAGCTGCATAGTGGATTCAAATTTTCTTTTTGTCAATTTCAAAATGACATTTCTCCTGGACAGAGGAGATCTTCCCGGACATTACAGTATCTTTCTAACTTTCCTCTTCTTACATCTGTCTAGTCTTACTTCTCTTCTCTTCTTCTTTATCTTTTTCCCTACACTTTGCGCTATTCGTTTATCTTTGGTTTCTAGATGTTCTTATATAGTCTTTTTTTTAATTCAAAAAGCACCCCTTGAATTTTCCATCAGCGCCCCGTTTGAATAAATGCCCCGTTTGAATAAGCGCCCCTCATAAAGTGCAAAAAAAATTATTTAAGCACCAGGGCGCTTATTCGCACGAGTATGGTATACAAGGCGGTAAAGATTATCCTTTATACTTCCTTTGTATAGCACAGTACGTCTCAGGTTTCATTAAAATTTTAAAAACATATTCATAATCCACTTTGAAGTGATGTCAAAATAAATTCTGAGCCCAAATTTTAGTTTGATTCATGTCTTTAAGGTAAAACATGCAGACTTCTCCATCTAGTCACATGAGATGTTGCCTCATTTAATTTTAAATCACTTAGTTTAATTGGATAAAGCCCGCTCCAAACAAACTCAGCTACTAGCTTCACAAGTAAATATATGATCTGGTCGTGTGAGTTGAATTTTGAATGCAAATTTTGCCTCGTGTAGCATTAAGCAAAATATGAATGTTTTTGTGCACTTGTAAAAATAGCTTAGCGGATAGTGGTTGACTAATCTGTTGCTCATCACATATGATCAGTAAATTGTCTGGGTGTCTACCTGGAATCACAACCTATTGGTCAGACACACTATGAAAAATAAAAAGCTTAGAAATGACCAATAACTGACGAGACAGGCAGCTGGGTTAAAAGTCATATTCTCATGTGGTGGGCTTTACATGTTTCTTTTTTTGATAAATGTGCTTCATTAAAAATATGTTACCAGCCAGACCTACTTAATTTCATTTCTAAACCATATCTGGCCTCACCTTTATCCTGCCGACTGCTTCCTGAGCCTGTTGCATCCGTACTTTCTTGGTAGGCGTCTTGGTTGTGAGTAGCTGAGTTGAGCCTAAGTAGGCTGCTGGGTATATAATCCCCTTTGTAAGCGCTGCTTCATCATGTGGTCCACGAGCTAAGAACATGAAATTAAAAATATTGTTTAGATTAGAAATTAAAATCTACTATTACCGTAGATATTTTAAAATCGTTTACCATAATTAGGCAGACCTTTTAGGTAAATTTAACAAATTCTAGCTATAATTTTTTTGTATAATCTTTCTTATCATTTATTCACTTCTGAATGATTTATTATGTTTATGTAAAACTTTTCAAAAATATAGAAATAATTATTATATTTTATATAAATATAAATTATTTAAAAAATAAATAAAAAATATAAAGATGAAACATAAATAATAAAATATCGAATCATATATGATTAAAATAATATGCAAAATAAAAATCAGAATACTGGCATACTAAAAACAAAAATACAGCTTTGTGAATTCTATAACTACTACTGTACATCACCAGCTTACCAATACTATTTACTACTACAAACTACTTAATAAACAAACATGTTTCCATATGTACTACTATTAACCATGACCTTTTTTCAAGCATAAAACATTAACCATCACCAATATTACATATCTACCACCACACAAACATTATATAAACACACTATCAAACATTTAATTTACCGAGAGTGTTAGTTATACCATCACCAAAGAATCCCATCCCTACCATGGTCAATGTGCCTATTACCATGATAAAAACCATCACCATCTCCACCCATAAGATATATATATATTAGAGATTACTATTAATACTGTGCCATCACCATATCTACTATGGTTAATATCAGCTATCTCTATCACAGTTTACACTATGGTATTATCACAATGGTTAATACAACTGTGTATAATCATCACTTATACCATGGATGATACAATTACTGTACATTCAATACAATGGTTAACATTTCTATCATACTGTATGTTGGTAATACTATGGTATCATCACAATGGTTTAATACATGTATTATAATCAGTACATGGTTAATACCATATTTCTATCATGGTAAAAAGCACCACCACAGTATTACTGTACCAGTGACTGCTATGGTAATTAATAACTACTTCTCCAATTAAATTCTAATGTATTTAGTAAATGGTGACCATAAAAACAGAGACTCGAGAGGTATCAAAAACAGAAACCTAGACTGGACCCAGCAATATGAAAATTGAGCGAGGTATAGAAAACTGTCATTTCGTCTTTGTTTTGGAGGCTTCTATTTTTTAAACACCCATGTGCACCATATTATAATCACCAACCCAACATTAGCAGTACAGTTAAGCCATAAGGAAAATAAATAATTGGTTGCAAGTGTTTTTGAACAGATTTGTCTTACAGTGTAATATTCAATTATGTTCAAGAATTATCCATGGCAACAAAATTTAGATTTCTTTGAATGAATTTTAAACATTGAAATCTATGCCATTAATGATTTTATTAAAGAAAAGTCACATCAAAATAAAAAATAAAAAAATGTAAAACCTACTAAAAACAGAAATGCACTCTGTTGAGGTCACTGTCCCTTTTGTTTGAGTTTAGGTAGTTTCAAATAATGTTTATTCATTATAATTTCAAGCACATAACATTAGTGCATATTAATTCTCTATCTGTATATATAATTCTGTATTATTTATACTTTTACATTATGTAAAATCTGACCTTTAGTTTGGAGGATATTATTAGTACGCTAATTACATGTAAATAATGAAATATAATCTATCCTAAGAAATAAAGACCTATTTTATAAGATACTCAATATTTTGCATATTCTAGCAACTGAATATTTGCATTCAAAAGTCACATGAGAACATTCCATAAATACATTTAATTTAACAAAATGGTAGAATTCTAAGAGATAGAATCAATCACTTAAGTACTAAAGACAAGGGTAGTGTCTTAAAACCTCAAACTAAATATTATCACACTCATTTGCATGCTCTTTAACAAGGCTGCTAAAACGAACAGTTATATATCATTGTTGAAATTAGATATTATGATGAATTGATTTATTACTAATTAAAAATGCATTATATAAATTTCATTAATGATTAAAAAATCTAACAGCTTACCGGCTATGAAACAAGTTACATTAAATCGTTTACCAACGCTGAGCTGCAGCGTATGCTTTTTCCCGGCCATGTTTCATCTCCACAGCGGGATAACAGAATCCATACAGGCCTAGCTACCGAGGCTGACAGAAATCATTGATAAATCTCGTGCTGTAGCTCCGAGGGATTTCGGAGGTTACAATTCTCCTGCTATCTTGTTTCTGGTCATCAATACTGGTTGATTAAACGACATTAGCTCAACGCTTCAAGCAAACGATAGCACAATCATACAGATCACTTTGTAGCGATGTATGAAACACAGGCAACAGGGGAATTAATATATCGTGTACAAATTTTACTGTATACCTATTACTAGACAAGCACTTAATTATTTATCAAATGAATTTCATCCTACACTAGAGAATATATACTAATCACAGGCTCACATGCTAAAGCTAGGATTGGTTAAGTTGGTACAGGGTATCATACTTAAACTGATAAATCACTATAGTTACTGTTTGATTGATTGATTGAGTGTGGTATGCAGATGCAGCAGAAATTGAAACTAATGGTGAAAGAAAAAAATTCTTACATCATACAAGTTATGACTATTGAAATTTTCTTCCTATGCACAATTACTTTGTTCTCTTGCTTTTTTACTGTTAAATAAAAATATGGTATTTGTTTAAATTTAAGTACTATATACATTTTTTAAACTTACTGTTATAAATATTGATTTTTAATTTTGATGTTAAACTTTTATGTAATGAAATCACAGTGTACTAAAATCACACAGTGTGTATATCACTAAAACAAAAATCTCATTATAAAAGGACAAAAAAAAAACCCAAACATATACCGTAAAACCTCCAATTGAAGCCCTGGGCTTCTTTTTTTTGCGAACTTTTGATGAGCTTTTTTTTCAAATGGCTTCTTTTCGAGATGGGCTTCTTTTTAGAGACTACTTGTGCAAAGTAAAGATGGGGAGGGGGGCTTCTTTTGAATGCTGTAAATTTTGTCAATTTGTATTGTAAAACAATAAATAAGGCAACTGTAACATCGATCTATATCATGGAATGTATTTAACTGGTATTAAATCATCTAAACTACTTTATAAGCCAAGCTTGTACAGGTATTTAATTTATTTTGTTTTCTGAAATTCATGTACAGTGTATGTACTGTACTATCTCAAAAAAGAAGCCTATGTTATCTTGAAAAGAACCCCATGGGCCTCTTTTCGAGATGGGCTTATTTTCATGGCTAATTTTGCAAACTAAACAGGGGGCTTCAATTCGAGATGGGCTCATCTTGAGATTAAGTCCACTGGGCTTCAATTTAAGGTTTTACGGTATGTATTTATAAGTATATAATATAAATTTGATATATCTTCCTTATATTTTTATGATGCTATGATTGCTTTACCTTACAGAAACTGATTACAAATTATACTCTTGATTATTAACATATAATTGATTATCCTTAAGCTATTACACTAACTACAATTAAAAGAATGGTTATGGTAAAATTTTAAATATATTGATAAGAATTGATCACATATTAATTAGGGTCAACAATTGGCATTTTAGTTATCAATTACTGATCACATTATCAATAAGAATCAATTGTTAGTTAGTCGCATACCTGTGATACTAACATAGCTACAGACTTCAAAGTCGACTTCAGGATGCAACATCCTAAGTCAGTTAGAACTAAATCCAAAAGAGACCAGACAGCTCAAAACACAATATTTACTTATTTTCCAAGAATAGAAACTTTAGATATGAATTGACAACTTCGTTAAAATACCTCCCGGTCTTTTGCGGCACTGAAAATGCAGGACAAATTGGTGATCCTGTGTCGGGAGAGTCTTCGAAGTCATGGCAATTCCTGATAAATATATTCCAAGCACATCCCGAAAACAATAACTTTTTAAAATAAGGAATACATCAAATGACTCTTACACAGTATGGTGGGGAATAGGGTATAGATGTGAATTTACTAGTAAAATTTAAAATACTTTTAAGATATCTAGGACTATTAGCTCTATTCTATACAGTTAAGCATTAATGTAGATTATTCCACTTAAGTATGTTGTATTTATAATGGTTTTTTAAGGACAGTTAACAACTTAGTTTGGAAGCAGTCTCCCTTGCAACGAAATCAACTCAACTTCCTGTAGTAGTCGGCCATTTCCTTTACGATTTCTCAACTAGGAAGTGTAGAATTTAATAAACTACCATCCTTCAGCGTAGTTAGTCATGAGACTAAGCTTCAGGGAAAGACCAAATTTCCAAGGTTTTGTGTCTGAGGGCGCTATTTTGTAGTTGAATTGAGATCCTTTGCTGGGTCACAGGTTCAAGCATTTTTGTAAGATCTTGGAATTATTTTTAACTAACCTCATGATATAATTAAGCTATCGTCATCAGATTTCATTTATATTTTTTGTTTGTTGAGTCGTAACTGCTCTTACATTGGAGTGATGATCTTGCATTCAAAACTTCTAAGGACAGATTTTGTCTCACAGCTAAAAGTCTTTAAGTCTCATAATGGAGTTTCATAACGACAGTTCTCACTTTCAATCCTACAGTGGCATGGCTGTTGCATCAGAATGACATGTAAAATAAACTATTTCATGTGTTCTTCTGAAGCCATTTTAGCTGCCATTTTTTATGGTAAATATAACCTACCAACCAGTAAAATTTAAAAAAAACCCAATGATTAGGCTTTGCTAGTCTAGACTTCTTTAAATGAATGAACATCATTCTAGTCTATGAATGTTATGTTTTGTTTTTTTTCAAGTCATTAAACTCCACTCAAAAGGGGTAATGCCTCATACTCTGCATGTAGCTGCACTTACCAGTAAATATATTTCAATTGGATGCAAGAACACTAATTTCTATTAAACTGACAATTCACTGGTTTCCTACAATGTGTGTCCCAAAACCTTGTTTACATGAACTACAAATAGTTCTCAATTATGTATAGATCGGCTTGAGCAGTGGTCATA